GTGTGTGTGTGTGTGTGTGTGTGTGGAACGTTTTATGAGCAGGCTGCAATTTGGGTACACCAAAACTATTCGGGCCTCTAACTGGTAACTTCATGCACGCTTTCCAAAGCGCTCAAACAGGGGATGTCGGATTTGCATCAGGAACCGTGTAGATAAAGTTATTTTCCAGAAGCGTATCGTCCGAAAAACGGAGCGCCGTCGAGGTATTTTAAAACCGGGCCTATATGCATCTGGTGCGGGCCCCTAACGCTTCCAGTCGGACCTCTCGCTGACAGCACGGTGAGCTGCAGCAGCAGGTTGAAATCCCCAGGCCCGGAAACCCCGCCGAGTCCCCCCCGCTCAGCTCCCAATGCCTCTTTTCTCCCACTCTGTGTCAAGACATATCTCTATTCTGCTGCTAGAACTGTCGTGCTTTCTGTATTTCCGTTTACTTTCCGTCTAACTGCAGAATTTTTTAAACGTTGACAGGAGTTCATTCTGATTCGTTAATTGGATTTTTTTTAAAGTGATAAAAATGTAGATACTCACAACAACATTCATTCCAAGTCACTGATTTTTTAAAAATATATATATTGAGGCTAAAAGAATGGAAACGGCAAGCTAAAGTGATTTGCACTTTTTTAAAATCTAATTTACTGATTATTATTCGAGGTACAGTAGTGTAGTACATTATTTCATACCATTCAAAGTGTCCGTGGAAACCCAGCTTTGAAAAGGCCGTTGTTTTTTCTGAAAACATGTTAAAAATCAGAGAAAAATTATGCTCTGAAGTCATAGAAGTGCAATTGTTTCCAATTAGTTAATCATTTCCAAAAAAAAGAGTGGTAGAGATTTACTGTAAAGTAACAAAGTAGAATTCTAAAGTAGAATTATGAGTTAAAATACCAGTGTGTTAGATTTTTGTTTAAATATTCTATTTTTGTGTAACTGCCTGTAATCACTCTATTACTCATAAGAGAATGAGCTTATGTTAAATATAGGACAACAATCCTTATTTAACAAATAAACAGCAAAATAAAAACCAAACCTTCATACTTTGAATGACGCTTCCACTCTTGTGTGAAAGATTTGTGCCTCTTAAAGGTAAAAAAAGACTCATCAAAAGCTCTCAAGAGGCTTTAGATGGCAGATTGACATCCGGATTTGCTGTTGTGACAGTGGCTGATCCTCACAAAGTGAAAGATGGATGGATAGACAGATGCGGGGGGAAAACAAACCCCCCTGGTCAAAAGACCGGATCAGATGCTGTCTCTTGATTCTGTCGGTCCCCTTTTAGCCCCCTGTTCACATGCAAAAGAAGCAAGCTCGGCAAAAATCGGGTCAAAGTGGTGTCCAATTACTTTTTTTGAGGGGACGTTTTCACTCGGTGATCTTTTTTTTTTCAACCTTATGTGTGCACAACCCTTTATGAACACATTTCAAATGAATAATGCTCCAAATTCTAAACTATGACGTATAAAGGGGGTCCCAGAAATCCCTCAAATTTCCCACTGGTGAATCAGACGTTGGCTGGGAGTCAAATTTAGTGACAGGCAGACGGATGAGCTTTTTATGACAGTCCCCCCCCCTCTTCAGACGGCAGACAGACGGACGGGTGACATCATCCCGAAAGCAATCTCGGAGACGGACACCGATACAGTCGCATCAACATCAACCTTAAACCCGCGACAGCCGGGCTAGCGACGGGTCGGCCGAGAGGCGGGAACGTGGCAAATATAAATACGCGGTCGTTTTTCCCCCAGAGCCCAACCATGACACCTTTTGTGTGACATCCCCCTTCCCTTTAAAGGGAGTCTCGCATTCTCTCTCGGTACCGGCTACAACAGTAGTCAGTTTTGCGCAAAATATTGTGAACGCAAACGGCCGTTCCGGGCGTTAACGGGGACGTTTTTAGCAGCGTTTGGCAAATGCAAATCTAAAAAGATGACCTCGTTGACATCCGTAGAGGGTTGGAGGAGGCATGACATCAGCGACAGGGAATTTAACTCATTGGCTGTCAAAGACGTCTATAGACGTCAATTCAAATACAACCGTTGACTACCAAAGACGTCTATAGACGTCTTTTATGTTTTTCAACGCGAGTGGCTTGGGGAACGATCTGCTAAAGCTTGTCCGTAAATATCAGGCTTCTAGACAGAGTATGTACTAACAAATTGACCCTCTAGGTGGCAGTGCCACTTTTGATGGGAGATGAGCATAGACTGTAGGCAAATAAGAAAAAGGTAACGGTTCGCTATGAGAGAACATGTCGCCGGTGAGACGCAAGTCGAGGAAGAATGGAATAAGGTAGAAACAAAGATTTTTCCTGATGAAAGAAGAGAGTGTACTCTTTCTTTTGGTGTGTTCGGTGTTTACATAGTCATAGCACAAACTATTCAGTGGCTCTTGAAAAATCAGTCAAAATGCTAAAAAAACTCTGGCAGTATGGGACTCTCTGTTCTGAAAATGGCTGGCAGTCAATGAGTTAATAATAAATATTTGAATAATTAATAAAAAATATATATAATATAAAAAAAAATAATGATAAATAAATCCTTATTAGTTGTGTTTTCGACCCACTATATGGCCCCGGTCGGCCTTGTTCAATTCCAATACACAAAAGAAATCCCAATTTCCCGGTTTTCAACAAGCAAAACTCCACCTCCAAATCACAAACCAGACAGACACGCTTCCACTCGTGCGTTGACAAATGGGCCGCGTCCATCACCCTGCGCGTTAATCTTAAAAGGACTAACTCTGTATACATTCCGCATCCCTCCCGGTCCATCCGATACCGCAATAATAACTAATGTTTGTAGCACGTCGTCTATTTATAATATACTGTTGGCCACAGGTGTTTAAATGGCTTTTTAACAGCCTCCCCGAACAGGGATGGTGGAATATAAAGTACACAGAGTGGATTTGTATGCAAGAGAGGCTGAAAGAGAGACATAGCTGGAAAAAAACTTTTTTTCAATTCAATTTTATTTATATAGCGCTACATCACAACAACAGTCATCTCACAGCGCTTTCCAAACAGAGCAGGTCGGACCCTACTCTGAAGTTAATTACAGAAACCCAACAATTCCCACCATGAGCAAGCACTAGGCGACACAGGCAAGGAAAAACTTCCTTTTGGGGGGTCTTTTTTTTTCTATGCCTGATTATTCTTTAAAAACGGTTTCAATTCTACTGAATCGAAACTGCTTTGTTCTCTAAAGCACAAGGAATGGCATCCTGCTTCACTCATCTACTGGAATAGGAAACAAGTTCTTAGCTATTCGCATTCGCCAAGCCCTGGCGAGTCCAACCGGTCTAATTTAAGCTCCCCGCAACTATTTATCGGCACCAGAGGAAAAGCTATTATTATTCTTTTGCCGGAGACCTGCTTGTTTATATAAATCCTCATCTCTGTCATTTGGTGTCCTGATCTAATTCACTGAGACTTTTGGCTTTATTGCACATTAGACACCGTACATATATTTCTACTAACACAGGACAACGGAGCATTTTTTGGTCATTTTTTCCACTTGTTTTACAGGGTTTGTTTCAGAGAAAAATGACTGGTCCCACACCAGTCAAACCCAATCTACTGTATTAGGAATCTACGAATGGAGTAGCATTTAATAACCACTATATTTTTGCTTTTTTTTAACACTATGCCTATCAATTCAGAGGAGGATGATGTAAAAAGTAAGAGTTAGAATAATGTTTATACTCAATAAAGATCAGGGTGTCCACATGTTGTTAAGATCGCACTTCATAAGAAAAAGAAATGACACTACCAAAAAAGGACTAAATTACACGTCTATTCTTTTTTAATGTCTGAGTTGAGGAAGCAGGAAGGCTTTTAACATGACATGAAAACATACACACATACCTCTCATTTCATTTATTTTTAACCTCATCCCCTTTTTCTCCAATTTGTCGTACCGAAACCGTAAAGAGAGACGAGTTCAAAGACATCTCTGTATTAAAAAGAAATGAGTTAGTCTTTCATGTGAAACCTTGCCGGTTCCGTTTTCCCGCTCTGGACCCTGACATGTTGGATGGTGGCATCTGTTCTCCTAATTTAACCAGCAGCTGTAAAATATGTCAAAGTTTAGTTTTGTTTTTTTTGTTTTTTTTTTACCACTGCGCACTTAAAGATCATATTTTATGAGCAAGAACAAGGGCATACCCTCCCAAAGGTCACAATGCCTGAGAGACAGATTTGGACACAAAAAAAAAGGGAAAAAAAGGTGCTCAGTGGGTAGAGATCATACAACTGTTGTAAATTACCTTATTTTCTGGCTAAAAAGTAAAGAAAATAACAACAGTCTACTTTTTATTTAAAAAAGGAGAGAGGGAACCAGCTGTTTTTCTCTCTCCTTTCTTTGTAAATGATGTAGTTCGGTCCAACCAACTAAAAGGGATCCCACTTATTACGTCACAAATCAGGGGAACTTTAAACAGATGTTATAGGAATCGAAGTTTATCTCAGAGATATCTTCCCAGGGAGTTAGGGGGTAGGAGAGGCTGGAAGTGATGACGGCAACGGGGTGCCTCCCCTGCTTCCGGGAATCATCCCAAAGTGCCAGTTCAACCCCCACCCGGCTAGCTTGAGCGTTACAACTCCACCTTGTTCCTGTGAAGCACACACAGTGTGATGGGAAAACGTGAATCAGAGAGGACCTGGAAAAGCAACAGAGGACACCCAGAGGCAGACGGTCGGACACTGAAATTTAAGAGTTCAGTCAGCTCGGTCTAAATGAAGACGGAGAGATATTTAACCCTTTCTTTGCTTTGGTAAAAGTATCGTCAGACTTTTAAAGGTGTACCCCACAGGACAGGTAAGAAGGGTTTAGAACGACATGTATTAGGTAGATTTGCTTGGTTATATATTTTCTTACAAGAAAAATAACTGTATACATATATATATATATACACGCATGCGGATCTTGAACTGATGCCATCGTTCCAAACCAATGTAACAATGCCTAGATTTGTTCTCCTCAAACATGCCAACATTTACAACATCCACGGGACCGCACTGTTTACAGCTCCTTTGCCGGCCCCCTCTCGCTCTTGTTGCCACTGCTCCCGGGAGTTGTTGTTGACATGGGTTTTGAAATAGCTGCGGTCAGAGCGGTCCACCATCTGTCCCCAGGGGTCACTCAACTGGGAACATCCCCCACATGAGCCGGTCCGAGCCATGGAAATGTTGTCTATTGCTTTGTTTATATATCCAGCATTTAAAAAAAAAAAAAAATCAGCAATGGTGCAACAGTTTCCGCCCCCCCCATGTTATTCTGTGGACCATGTTTGTGTTTTTTTCCACTTTCATCATATAAAAGGCTTATTTCGTACATGTTCTTAGCTTTGTCTTGGCAGAAATTTAGCCAAGAAAATCAAAGTCAGCCTAACATTGTTGGGTTGCAGGAAATGATTAACCATTATTGTCCACCAAAAAAAAAACCCTAAAAAACAAAAACGAATTGGTAAGTCTTACATGTAAGATGCCTATTTCATAAATATGTTGGATGCATACCTATGTGAAAAGACTATATGTTGTGCAACACGACCCTCGTGATGTCAGACAGCTCCTCGCGTTACAGTCCAGCTCTGGACTCTCAAATTGGCACTGCTTTTCCTAATCGGTTGCCTCAGTGTGTTGAGCGGGAGGCTCCCGAGTTCATGCCATACCATGTGGGCCCGTGCTGACGCAATGTGACAGTGGCTCTAGACCTACAAATTGGCTATTAATAGAACTAAAGGGATAGTGTTGCTTGTGGATGGACCACATGCGTTGATGTTTCTGTGTTTGTGGCATTATAAATCTTAGCCAATATAAAAATGGCTTCATGATAGCAGCCAGTGAACCTTTGATTTGCATTGATTTGCCTTGTTTTGAGTTCAGATATATTAGACCAGATGAGAACAGAGAAGCAGTTTAATAATATCTCTGTATCTCTTTGTGTATCTTACAGATGTTGTTCATACTGAAGGTCCTCTTGATGGAAGTCTTTATGCCCGGGTCCGCAAGAAAGACTCCCTGGAGGGAGTTATCAGCATCAACGGTCTCCCAGTCCGTGAAAACCCTTTGACAAATGCAGAGAGCTCGTTGCAACAGGTCAACCATCCCCTACAGACCACCGAGCAGACCCTTCCCGTGACCGGCCACACCGCCCTGCCCGCTGTGGACCACACCCTCTCTGTGAGCAGTGATTCTGGCAACTCCACCGCGTCCATCAAGACCGATCGCACTGACCAGTCTTTGCACAGCGCTGTAAGCCACAACCATCCGACGACAGCTCACCCAACACTGAGCCCACAGGAGAAACGGGAACTGGACCAACTTCTGAGCGGCCTCGAAGCGCCAATCCAACGGCAAGCCTACCTGTCTACATCTACCAGCCCGGGAGGGGGGGTACGGCACTTAGTTCCTGCACAGGTGCATGTCAACGGAGGCCACACCAGGTTGGCCGGAGCACCTTCAACCGAGGAGCGTGAGACCGATATCCTTGACGACGAGCTGCCCAATAGCCAAGAAGGTAACAGTGTGGACAGTTTGGGTACACTCTCTTCCTTAGAGGGTCAAGCCACGCCAGGTGACCTCTACTTCCAATCGCAAACGCCTGTAAGTGTGCAAAACGACGGGCCATACCTTGAGAGGAACGTACTTGGGGAAAAACTGACCGAGATGCCCGTCCATGGAGTAAGAACTCCCACGGCGATCCAAGAGAGATCTGTGGACTCGCCATCGCCTCAGGGGGGATACAGTAACTATCAAAACGGAGGAGGGATGTACCATCCACAGTCCTTCGGGAATCCATCCGCCAATTGCCCGGAGAGCAACCCAAAACTAATGCCCAGGGCCCCTGAGAGGAGCACCAGTAGCCGGGAAGCTGTTCAGAGAGGCCTCAGCGCCTGGCATCAATATAGTCTTCCAGATGATCCGTTTGGCCCTCCTCTCCAGTCAACACACAGTCTGCCCCATTTTCCAACCGCGGCCTCACAGCGAGATATCGAGCAATCCATCGAGGCCCTTAACATGCTCATACTTGATCTGGACCCGATCAACTCCCACATGTCCAAATCTCACAGTGCTCCACCCGGCGAGAACAGCCTCAATTCATCCCAGGCACCCTTCTCCCAGACCCTGGCCAGGCCGTCGTACCAAGGGGATTCAGCCATCCACGGCTACAACAACTCTGGCTCTGTCAACAACGCCTATCACCAGCCCTTACGATCAGCCGGGAGGGTGCTAAACCAGAGTCCAGTTGTGGAGTCTCCCACATACTCTCCCCAAAAGCCGAACTCTGGCTACCAATATCAAAACACCACCCCAACACACACCCCGGAGCCCAACCTTCACACGCGTCAGGCACCCCACCACTACAACACCGATCCCTCCTTCAACCAGCAGACCCAGCAAAAGATCATGAACTCGTACGCGGGCAGTGGAGTCTCACACTCCCCGGACCTGCAGGGTTCCTCACCGTACCCGGCCTACAGCACCTCCTCTTCTCCCCTCCCTGCCTTCACCCCTCTCCCCAAGGAGACGTCTTCTTCACCACTGCCCAGAGAACAAGGTGCAGAGGAGGAGACGTTAAACCTGGAAGGTCTCGTTGCCCACCGTATTGCTGGTAAGGCTCTGAGATATAGTGGAGTAAGATCTCTTTTTCTTATTCCCATCTTCCAGGCAGCATTTATATTAACACTTAAGCCAGGTGTTGTCTGTATGATACTAAATTCAAATTCTCGAAAATGTAACTTAATCAAGGCTACATGCAGGGAAAAGTAGATATTATATTTACTTTTAAAAATTTGAAATCAGTTGCCTTATTATGAGGAAAGTCATTATTTTGAGCTGATCTAAAGCAACAAGAGCAAAAGAATGACTAAATTAACCCAGCATCTGCGAACAGGTTTTCTAGGCCTCTTTTCAAATGCATAAATAAGAGAAAGGGTGAGCACACTTACATGCAAAATGCTGACAGAGGCAAACAGAAGACTGTCGCAGAACGTGAACTGTACAACTTTTAGCAGTTAGTGTTACATTTCCATCGTGGGGCACCACAGCACCAATGGCCCGTGCTCGTAAAATTAGCCCTGTAGCTAAAATGAAGCAGACCTGGTAAAAGCTGAGAAGGGATGAGAGTAATAATAGCCTCCAGCTTTCATAGATTCTCTCCATTCAGAGTAAGTTTACACTATATGGACAAAGCTCCCGGATGCCTCCCGGTGGAGCAAAGATGTAATTTACTTTTACAACCTGCTGTCATCAGTGAGGATGATTAAACAGATTAAACTGTCCCCCAGTGTGCTGTTTAAACACCTCCCTTCATTCACCCTGAACCTGACATGATTTTATCATTTTGCAAAAATACTTCCATGAAATATTTTTCTGTTCTGATTTTTTTTCCCTTTTTCGTTCAATCCATTTATACTATTCATGGAAAACTTCCTGCCATTGCTTCCTCATCTGCTCCTCCTCTCTCACCCTCCTCCACTTCCACCTGCTTCCTCCCTTCTACCACCTGACATCCCTCCCCCTGGAACAGAGTACAACGCTCGTATTCGGGGCATCAGTGAAAGCATTACACCACAACAATCTGACCGCCATCGCTCCTATTCCTTCTCTGGTTTGTCCACTTTCCCTCACTTTTAATTTCTTCCTTTGTGCGTTTTTTGTTGGTTGATTTATCCTGCTTGTCTTTCTCTCACATTGCACCTTCCCCCCCCCCCGTTGCTACTTCTTTACAAATGAAACATCTTCCTTTATCCATCACTCTCCCATGCCGGTTGGCTTGATGAAAGCGAATGGTGGTGTGTTATTTTGCCACGCAGAAATATGAAAAAGGTTGCCATCGGGGGGGGTTTTGCAGGAGTTCGCTCGAGAGGGATGACACCAGAGGTGACGCAGGAGACGGGCCGGCGCCGGACCACCAGCGAGGGCCAGTACCAGAGCAGCCACGAAAGCACATCCGCTGCACATTCGCCGGACTTTGCCAACAATCTGGCCCTCAACCCTGGAGGAAGACCCAAAGAGGTACAATGGTCGCGTCATGGGGTTGTTGATTTTGGGTTTTGCAGATATACCATGGGTATAAGTTTTTCCTTGCCTGTGTCACCTAGTGCTTGCTCATGGTGGGAATTGTTGGGTTTCTGTAATTAACTTCAGAGTAGGGTCTGACCTGCTCTGTTTGGAAATCGCTGTGAGACAGCTGTTGTTGTGATGTGGCGCTATATAAATAAAATTTAATTGAATTTAATTGAAGTATAACTGCAACACATAACATACATGTGCGGGAAAACAGACGTTTGAGCAACATCCTCAAGCTCATGATGCCAAACCTTCACAAAAACACAGAAAATTAGTTCATATGAGTGATAGAGCCCTAAAAAGTAAGTGAAAGTGATACAATAAACAATCTTCTTGGTGGTGATAAAGGTTTTGGAGGCAGTCCCCGCCAAATGTAAGATTTTTCATTCGCTTTGCAGACTAGATTTCACATTCATTTATCTTTCCAGGGTCCCATGCACAGCTACCGGGAGGCATTTGAGGACAATGATGCTGGCCAGTTTGCCAACAGCCCCACCTTTGGAGGCGGTGGTGAGAATTCCCCCTTGACCCCCAGCTTCCCCGTGTCACCACAGAGTCCTTACTTCAACATGCGTAGGTTCACACTGTCTGCAGGCATGGGGCACCCAATTGCATCCCAAAGAGACACACACTGAACTAAAAAACAGAACAGCCAGATTGTCCGATTGGCCCAAATTCCAGATAGATCAAACATTTAACATAAAACTTCTAGCAAAGTTGATTTACCAAAAGGTTTCTATTCAAAAGATTTTTCCCATCCAAACCTGGTTCAGTATTTGTGTTAATTCTGTTTTGGAGCACGAAAGCACCACGATCAAAGTTTGGTGTCTAAATCATTTAAATGTGAGCATTAAAATGAAACGTAATTGCACATAGAGTCAATTCTCTCACATTGGGTTCTAGTAAATTCCATTTCTTTTGTTTTGAAATTCTTATTAACCACTTGGAGGAAGAGTAAACATGCAACAATAAATGGGTGTTTTTTTAAATACACTTTTCACATTTCCTGTTTGCTCAAGGCGTATTCAAACTAAACCCAAGCAGAGCACAGGTGTGACCAACTTTTGTTTTCTTAAGACACGGGGCGCATTTCATCATTGTGACATCTGTTTTCTTTGGAAAGCGAGTTTAAAAAACAAGCAGCAGAGTTTAAACAAGATCCTTTTTCTTGTTGTCGTGCTAAATTCACTCGCAAACACAAAATGGCAACACACATTTAGAGTCCACAAACACTTCTCTTTGATCCTCTCCCAGCCTGGTTTTGTTGTTTTTCTTGTTGTTATTTCTCCTGAAAACGGAATCAATTATTTATTTATTTTCTAAAAAGCATCGAATTAGTTTGTGCTTTGTTTTCATAATTGTTTACTGAAAGAAGAGGCTACACATACAGATATTTGCTAGACCCAGCTGGAGCAAAGACCACCTGGTTCAGCGAGCAGTGACAGCTTGTGTTGACATTCTGCACACTTTGTAAAGCGGCCCTGCCCCCCCACCCCCCACCCCCACCCTGCTGCAGTCAGTCCTGAACATGCAGCTGCTCCTGTAGCAGACTTTTCTGTGGTACTTACGTTCATTTTCATCCCTCTTGCATGCCGACATTAGCGAGCCCTTGGAAAGACTTTGTTTACGCATTTCTTAATGTCTTTCCATGACTTCCTGGATCCCATACAGCTACTTGGCATTAAGATAAAGCTTCATGCTTGACACAGCTCCAGCATGTCTACTCATGGACGTGAACAATAAGCAAACCACGATACGCCTCAAAGCTGAAGGTTTCCCTTCGTTACCACGGCCAATGCAACAAACACCACCCCATCTTAATCGTATTGGTCTATCTCTCCTGGAAATTTGAATATTCCCCATTTGTATGCACTCTGCCACTGGATCAATCCAACTTTTTTTTAGACATCCCTTCCAGAATTGAAACATCTAACCAGAATTCCATTGACATGTCAGGTGGTTATCTGAAACATTTAAATATTTCAACTACTAACATCTTTGTAGTTTTTTTGTCTAAATAAGTATAATAACATGAACAACCATAATTTGAAGACATATCTACAACCTGATTCAGTTTTAGATCATAGCACAGGCTAATTTGTCATGCAATCATAGCAAACAGCTCATTTGGAAATTAATTCATGCACAATTTCAATAAGTTATTGTATTTATCTACAGATGAACCAATTAAAATGGATGTCTGCTTCATTTACAAGTCTAACACTTTTTCCTGGCTATTGGAAAAATGTCTGCATGTGTCCAAAATTTTAAAAAAGCATCATTAGCTCAGACAATATGATTAACTTCATATTATCAGGGATGCAAACCACACTGTGTGGTGGTTTGGAGGAATTTGTCATTTTGTAAGTGCAAAAATAAAATCTCTGGCTGTGTCACCAACTTGACATGAAACATGAAAACCAACCAACTAATCATCCCTGTAAATGTCATCTTTGACTCATCTGTTTTTAAATATCACCCTCCTCTTAAAGCCTTAAATCTGTCCTTTCTGTTTTTCTTTCCTTTTAGCCCGAGCTACTCCGGGTTTGGCGAAGACTCCTCTGTCGGCGCTGGGGTTGAAGCCTCATCAACAAGGCGGATCAGGTCAGTATTTTAAACTGGATTTGAGCCCTCCAAAAGCGTTAGCATGAGAGTGAAAAATGACTTCAAATGTGGTAAAATAGTACGTGGAACTGACTCCACGTGTGGGGTGTCAGAGACAGTCTCATTCAAAATCAGATTTAGAAACCAAAGTCACTTGCATCAATATTTCATACATCATTATTCGACAGTTGCAAATTTACAAAAGGATTTAAACTGGGAAGTTTGCAGGTAAAGGGAGTTCTATGCCAGATGACCGGACCTATTAACACTTTTTCTATCCAAAAGAGCTGTAAAGAAAGACAATAGGGCCCGTTAATTAAGGAAAAAGAAACATTTGGATGCCTTTTTTTTATGGAATCCCTGTGAAAATTTGCAATTGTGGGGTCTTACAGGGTTAAACCTGTTTGCTTTAGTTATCCTGGAGAGTGGAAACAGTTGGACGAAGTGGTTTGGGATGATCTCAGTGCGGCAGGAACACCGCATTATGTCATGCTTTAGCTGGACGACTGACCACGCGGACAGGAGTTAACACCGCGGGGCTTTGCTGACCCCTGCTGCCCACAGCTGTTTCCACTCTCAGAAACGTCTCCATTTTCACGCTCTCAGCTCAAGTGTGTCTTCATTGTCTCCTCCTCCTCTTCCACACGTCCTCCCCTGCTCTTCTGTCCACACTTTTCTCTCTCTCTTTCCGCTGTCAGACTCTGGCTCTAATGATGGAGAGCAAGGTAAGGGCACCTCTGTGACAAAACAACTGAAGCGTCTCTCTGACTTGAACAAAATGTGTCATGTTTTGGCATTTTTGTCCACCAACCCCGCCCACCCAGACTAAATGATTTCCTTCTCTGTCCTGTCCTGTCCTTTTCATGGAATGTTTGTCCTTTCAGAAACGATCGTGAATTTTTCTAATGAATTTTTTCTGTTTTTTTTAGATAACCGGAGTTCAGGCGAGCCCAGGGCACATGCGTTCAGCGTTCCCCAAACCTCCAGCAGCCCCGTCCACGCTGTTGACGGGTGAGTTTTTCTCTACTTCCCCTTCAGAATCAGGGGACTCATTTATAACATCTTTTAGGTCAATGATCTCCAACTTACAGGCGACGCAAAAGCAAAAACGTGATTGGAAATAAGCTGGGATGCGATCCCTAATTGATCTGAGGATGGTACAGATACAATATATCAAATGTCAAAATGACATTCCAATAAAACAATTGTTTTTAAAAAGATTTAACTAAAGTCCAAATAGTACCCTGGAAATGTTTCCGATTTCTTATTCAGGGAATTCTGCATTAGTACCACAACTGTGTACCCAAAGGTTTATCCAATAGCTTATCAGAGTTAAATCCTCCTCTGAATCATCCTCTGAATCAACATTGAGAATGAATCCCAACTTAAATAATTCCTTAAATTAGCTTGTCCCCATGGTGTGTTATACTGAATGTAAAATGACTGAGAAAGCCAATAAGAATCGTTTTAAAACGTTGATGGCGCATTCAAAAAGTAGAATTTTGATGATAAACAGCATTTTGTGTTCTATTTTGACATGAACGAGTCAGCATTTGCAGTCGACGTGATGAATATCTGAATGGCTTTTTTTTTGGTGTTTTTCAGAAGAAGGATGGGCTCCTCAGAAGGCCCCCCTCACAGACCCGCCTCCCCCGAGGGCTCCCAGGTCAACATCATGGGCGTCCACACCGTGCCCGGCAGCCCCAACACCCTCCACCGCACGGTGGCCACCAACACGCCGCCCAGCCCTGCCCTCCAGCGACGCCTGGGCAGCCAGGGCAGCCCGTCCCCAGGCCGCCACCCGCCCCCCGCCGCCGGCGCGCCCCCCAGCCCCCTGGCGGGCCGCAGCCCCAAAGCGGCGGTCGGCGGAGGCGGGGTCCCGCCCAGCCCGCTGACCGGGCGGCGCGCGGCGGGTGGCGCCCGCGGCGGCACACCGGATGTGATGGGCGCCGCCTCCCGCCAGGGCAGCGCCCAGCCGCCGCCCACGCCCACCTTCCCCATCTCCCCGCAGCCGCCCGAGAAGAGGCACATGTCCAGCGGGGACGCCGAGAGGGCGGGCGGCGGCGCCGACCCGACGCCTGCGCTGCCCGCCGGCGGGGGCAGCACGCCCAACCTGTCCGGCGCGCACCCCCTCCCCGACGTCCCCAAGTCCATATACGGTCAGATATGTTTATTGATTTTTTTGGGGTTTAATAACAACAACAACAAAACACAAAACAGAAGCTCAGCAGTGCAGTCCAGAGATAAAAGGAAATATAAGATGGGGGGGCATACATACTTCCATCGTTGTATGGTACACATCTAAACATTAATAATTGCTCAAGACAGGATGGTAGACACGTGTCCTTCAGCATAGTCCAGGAAGGGCTTCCATATGCGTCCAAAAATGTCCGTCTTAGAGTGGACGAGGCATGTTAGAAAGTCTAGAGGGATATATTCCAAAATGAGCTTCTTCCACCCAAAAATTGTAGGAGATTTATTAGAAACCCATTGTAATAAAGTATTCTTTCGGGCACAGAAAATTAGAACATTGTACAACTTACTCTTATTTTGGTTTTGGGTATGTTTATTTGGTAGACCAAAGAGAAGAGACACTGGATCGAGATCAATGTTAGTTTTGAAAATTTTCCTAATTTCAGCCAGAATAGATTTCCAGTATATCTGAATCTTGGGGCATGACCAAAGACAGTGTGTGAGGCTGCCTTCATCTATTTTGCATTTTGGGCACAATGAAGAGGACCCCGGTTTAAATTTAGACACCCTGTTTGGGGCCAAATGAGCTGTATTGTATTGTATTGTATTACTTTAAGTTTCAATGCCCAGGAGCGATTACAAATAGTAATTTCTTTGGCAGAATTCCAAATACTGCTCCACATTTCATCAGTGATCTCGCCGGCGCATTTTTCTAATCTCCCCTGTTCATTTTCGTCCCCCAACAGACGGTTATCCTGACATCAAGATGAATGTTAAGTTTGTTCAGGACACCTCAAGGTTCTGGTACAAGCCGGACATCTCCAGAGAGCAAGGTGAGGGGTCCAGACGGAGTCGAACTAAACATTTTCGATAAATCAATCAATCAATCAATCAATCACTTTATTTTGGTAAATTGTCCACATTAAACACAAGAAACAACAAAAGAAAAGAACAATAGATAAACCCACAGTTTACCAAAAAAGGAATAGGCCGAAGCAAAGCTTATTCTTGCCTACCCTATTTTTTACCTTACAACCTACCAGGATTTCTTCAAATTCAGATTCAAGTACATAGTACATATATAGATCTACATAACAGCGTAAGATTTTTATCATTTTACATTTTAAAGCTCTTTTAAAGTTCACCAAGAAAGGACATAACTTAAATTCATCATTCAATTCATCATTTTATGATCTAGAACTTGAGCAGACTTGAACAGACATCCTTCCCCTGTCGTCTTCCTCCCACTTTAGTTCGCTTAACCAGATTTTTTCAGATCTAATCTTATCGGTTTCGATTGCCTTATCGCCTTCTCCCTCCCTCGCTCTCTTTCTCCCTCTCGCAGCCATCAATCTGTTAAAGGACAGAGAACCCGGAGCTTTTATCATCAGAGACAGCCATTCTTTCCGCGGAGCCTACGGGCTTGCAATGAAAGTCGCCTGCCCCCCGCCGACTGTCCAGCAGAACAAAAAAGGTAAATTTTTATAATAATTCCGCATATATGTACCGTATTTATACACAGCTAGTGAAGAATTGTATCAATATACATTCACAATTTGTTTTATTTATCTTTAATTCCATTTATTCATTCATTTCCTCAGTTGCCGACATGACAAACGAGCTCGTGCGGCACTTCCTGATTGAGACGAGCCCAAAAGGCGTCCGTCTGAAGGGCTGCCCAAACGAGCCCTACTTTGGTGAGTAGGAATTCTCGTCCGTGCAGGTTTCGGCCCGTGAAGTGAAAGCATTTTCGACAGAGCGAGTGCTTTTTTTTTTCGTTCGCAGGATGCCTCTCCGCGCTGGTCTACCAACACTCCATGACCCCTCTGGCCCTGCCCTGCAAGCTCATGATCCCCACCAAAGGTCAGCGTAGCGTCCAGAATTTTTCTTACTTTAAAGATTTTAGATGCTAGCTGCTACCAAATAGCTTAGAATGGGATTCATTGCACTGGGATTTCATATGCCAGTGCATGTGTTCTGTGTATAACTGTGATTTTTGTTTTTAATCTACGCTATGACGTAACATTTAGCGTCCTCTTCCCTGTCCTCTTCACTCACAGACCCAAATGAAGAGGCGCTAGAACTCGCCACACCGACGGACCCGGTTGTTGAACTCCTTAAACAGGGAGCAGGTGAGAAGCCTTTGTCCAGAGCTTTTTTCTTTTTTTCGCTCTCCTATCGTCATCTCAGCACGCGGCAACGTTTTTAAACAGAACATCTGCTTTTTTGAGTGTTTCCATTTGAATGACTTCAGCGTAAGGAGTCCCTTGTTCATCTGCAACGTTTGCAGCACTAAAGGCTGGAAATGGAGCATGATATTTCCTTTTTAGAGGAGAAAATCTTCAATCGCCAGATCGTTGCCGCATTGCACAAAAAACTAGATTAAAACTGAAACGCAACGGTTGTAGTTTGTTTAGCTGATCTTTCACAGCGTCAGGTCATTCACTCAAAGGCTTTTACCCTTACCCTACAGTTCAGAAGGCCCCAGAGGAAGCCCACGGTAAATACTGCTTTGTACTATGACTAAGTGCTTGTCAAAACACTTTAATGGAGTTCAACTTAAAAAAAAAATAAATGCATGCACTGTATATTGCGGTACATTGAGTGATGCATGCTCCCTGCCGTGCAGCACGTGAAAGGTTGATAAAACTCAACATTCTTTATTATTTCGGCTTTTAAAATTATCTATTATTTAATTATTTCCATCATCTCACACCGACCTGCATGCGCGCGTCTAAACAGGACGAGTCCAAAGTCACGAGACACCATTTTTGTCCCAGAAACGAAACAGAAAAATCCCATATTTGAAAACCCGGGCAAGTCTTGGGAGAAGCAGGTGTATCTTATACATTTGGTCCGCAACATGGGCGCCGAGAGAGATTCCAAATCCGACATTTCTAAGACAATTCTGGTCTTCTTTTGATATGATAAATGCCCATTTTCCCATTAAAAACTAACAAACTAGCCCTTGATTCAACATGGCGGCTTTCAAGATGGCAGCCATGTTCCAGACGTTACCTAAAAGATAGGCCCCCTCATCCCGTACTTGGGCTATTCCCATACATAATTTCCCCTTTTGTTTCTGAAAAATAAACAGTGACCCATGACTTTGGACTCTCCCCGAATTCCAGTCACAGTTTTTTTCACTTTCCGTGTTTCTTTCCAGCGTGCAACGTGCTCTACATCAACTCGGTGGACATGGAATCCCTCACGGGGCCTCAGGCCGTCGCCAAGGCGATCAGCCAGACGCTGGCGGCCGACCCCCTCCCCGCCGCCACCACCGTCCACTTCAAAGCGTCCACGCAGGGCATCACGCTCACCGACAGCCAGAGGAAGTGAGTCCACGCGCGGGAAAAGCGAATTGTTGTGTCCTGTGATTCTTAACAGTGATTTACTCTTGCTAATGACAGAAAATAAAAGCAAAAGGTCTGTTTATACAGGCAAATATCATAAATGAAAGCCCTTTTCAAACAACGATAAAGATAACTTTTTGAATAACCAAGGAAGCAGTTTAAAACAGTTATAGCTAATAAAAATACTATCTTATCTGACTAAAGAAAGGTTAACATCTCCTCCTTGTAGGTTTTCACAAGTACTAGTCACGCTCTCCCTTTACACCCTCGAAAGCATTTTTGAATTCAACAGCCTGGATTTGTTTTCGTTTTCCTTTAGGATTTTCTTCAGGCGACATTACCCCATCAACACGGTAACCTACTGTGACCTGGACCCCCAGGACAGAAAGTAAGAGGCCGTTCTCTCTCCCAGCCCGATCCCAACCGACTCTGACCATCGCCTAAAAAGAAAACCAATCCCTCCTGTTTGTTTCTGTAGGTGGGGCAAAGAAGCAGGTGGCTCGGTGAGGTAGGTTTGCTTAGGTTAAAGAAGTGGTTCCCAACCCCTGGGGCACGGACCACTACTGGTCCATGAGTCGTTGAGTACCGGTCCGCACAGAAAGACTAAATGATATGTCTGTTTTATCTATTATCCGAGTTCGAACAATTCTTTATTTATCTATAATCCGTCAATGACCTGCTTTTGACGCATGTCAAGATTTATTGTCTTGGTTACAAGATACTCGGCTAACTTTAAACCCACAACGTGAGTTCAAATCAGACATCTTTGGGAAGCTTCTTTGAAAAGGTCCAGTCAGGACACAGAAGTAGAGCCTGGGACCACTAAAAAAAATAGAAAGCTGCATTTGAGAGCCTATACCAGGAGATCTTAACTCTTTGAAGCCATATCCAAGGCAAAATTGGGAAAAACTTAATTTTTTTGTTTAAGTCTTTATTTGGCCCTTTAACAAAATATGAAAAAAATTAAACAGAGGTCATTTTTTATTTCCAGTTCTGCATATTATGCTCTGTGGAGTCACATATATTACTGTATTTAAAAAATCCCACTGTTTTTGTCATTTTATTTTGTTGTATTTATCCGTCACACCTTGAAGGCCGATTCCTGAAAACATAATCTTACATTATAATCGAAAAAAAGCTCGGGGACCACTGGCGTAAACTTAATTGGGGGCCATGGGCTGGAACGTCTCTGTTTATTCCAGCTTTCCAACAAAAGGGATTTTCGTGTTCCGGGGATCTTTCTGTTTATGACTGAATCTCTTTGGCTTTGCTTTCAGTCTCTTCGGATTCGTCGCACGGAAACAAGGAAGCACAACTGACAACGTCAGCCACCTGTTCGCCGAGCTGGACCAGGACCAGCCCGCCTCCGCCATCGTCAGCTTCGTCTCCAAAATGATGAGGCGGTGAACCCCCTCGAACCGCGATTGGCGGCGGCCGATTTTTTTCGCAAGCGTGTCCATGTCCACGTCTTTAATTTTTTTTCGTCCGGGGACTCGACGACGTTCTTTTCCCCCTCTCTCCTGTTTCCTCTCGGTTTGGTTTAGTTTGTGACACCCCTCTCTCCTCCCTCTGTCTCGCCGTTTTTTTATTTTTTATTTTACGGACTCGTCTTTACTCGAAGGCTTTGGCGTGGATCCATATTGGAGCTAGAGGACGTGTGGTGTGGAGCCGTGCACGTGGCATTTTAGGAGGCCGTCGTAGGGGCGAGCTCTGCTCCCAGAAAAATGGCGGACGGCCTAAAGGAACGACGCTAAGTTCAGTCGGGGGGGGAAACGCGAAAGGACTCGTAGGTGTCAGGGGCTCTCTGTTGGTTACGTTGACTGACTTACCAAAGGTAGTTGCAATACGAGTGCAAAGAAGGATGTAGCTATTAAGCCATTATCATTTCCTCTTTTCAGAAGATGAATTGTTAAACAAAAGAAAGAAGAAAAAAAAATCCGGTTTCTTGTCAAACTTGTCTTCAGGTTTTAAAAAAAAAGAAAAAAAACAAACTCGGCCTCGACGGCTTTCTAGCAAAACAGTGTCTGAAGACGTTATGCATGTTAGCTTGATCTTTAAGCTCGGTTCTTCTACTCTCCCCACAAAAAGTCATTTGTGAAAATCTTCAGAAGGGGGGGTCGTTTTTTCCGGGGTCTGCTGTGTGTCGGAAAGGGCTCTGCAGTGAAACAACAACTGATCTAAACTGTGCACAGCAGACCGGACTCAAAGAGATATTAAAAAAAAAAAGAAAACAAACAAATAAAAAGAGGAAAAAAAGAAAAAAAAAATAAGCGAAACGCTAAGGGTCATTTCACTCGGTGTCAGTGCACCCGCATCTGCATCCCCCCCCCCACGGTCTGACCCCTGACCTTTTCTCAGAACTCTTCATATTCCCCGGATGAATTATTGCTCGAAATGGGAGAGTTTTCCCCCGATAGCATGACAGACGGAGAGGAATACCGGCGCGTCCACAAGATGGCGCCACTCATTCAGGCTTGCACTCTGGCGTCAGACTCCCCCCCCCCCTCCCCTCCCCTCCCACCAATCATCAGCACCTGCTTGCAGTAGTGGATCCGTTGCTAGACCACTGAAAAACACACTGGAAAACCCACCAGGGACTCTGGCCCAGCGACCTGGACCTATGCACTGTTCTTTAATGCATGTCGTCGTCCCAGAAAAAAAAGGGAAAAGAAACCCTTCTTCATATAGCAAAACATTCAACAACACTGAAAACATTCTATGCCGTGTGTTATGAACAAAAAAAAAATGGGGGGGGTGGGGGAAAAAATGTAAAAAAGAAAAACCTTTTAGACAAGTACACAAAAGGTTCTGTGACTTGTCAGAGACTGCATGAAGTAGATGACATTTTTTTGTACTCTTCTCAGAATCCTGAAAAGAATTAGACAGCCCATTGTTGAAATAGTCACATGACGGTGAGATGCTATATTTGGAATTTTTTTTTTTTTTTTTTTGGTTTGTTTGTACTTCCTGTTTTGGTCCACTCGAGCCAGGGTTACCTTTCACCACGTCATTTTTTTTTTTTCTTCCTCCACGGTGTCGTCAAAATTTTTACATTTAGATACATTTTAAGGTAATGAACAGACAAAAACAAAACAAAAGAAAAGAAATCCAGTGTGCACAATGCCTGCTTGTTGAACACACGCTCTAACCATTCACGATAAGCTAGGGAAAAAATTGATATAAATGTACATAAATATAATACTTTAAAAAAGGTGACATAGCGAAAAAGTATTTATTTTTGTTGCTTTGGTCCCTCATTATTACTCATATATACATATATTGTACAGTCTAGACAAAGAATAATGGGTTGAGAAAAAAAATATATACTTATTTTGGCTAATGATTTCAAAATCCAGAGGATTTTGAAATGTGTTTGAATATATGGTGTACATTACTTTGTACATGTATACGTTTGTTTTTTGGGCTCGTCATGTTTTTCTTTTTTCTTTTTTTTTCTTCTTTTTTTTCTTCTTCCTGGTTCTCTCAGAAAGAGGCAGGGGCATGAATTTAGATAGAAGCCAAGAGTCTGAATTGCACAAAAAGAGATGCAGAGTGCGTTTTTTTTCCCCTTTCCGCTGAAAAAAAACCGGGCGCACTTATGTTTAATGCATTGTAGCTGGTAGAATTTAGAGAACAAAAAAAAAAACGAAAAAAAAAAAAAAAAGGGAACTTCAGAAGCCAAACTCAGATGCAATATGAAAACAGCCGTTTGCACCCCATGACAATTACAGTTATGATTTTTTGCCAAAGATCCACACATCTATGCTGAACGCAAGGCCGCATGTCGCTTTTTTGTCTTCATGGGCTTCTCGGTTTCCATGTTTTTTTTTCTCAAGTTTAGTTTTTTCGGGTGTTTTTTTTAATTTTATTTCTTTAATGAAAAGATTTTTTTTTAAAAAGAACCAGCCGGTGACGTGCAGCTTACACCAAGTGGGGGAATGAGGGTTTTTTTGGGCCCTCACGGCCTCCTGTAGGTAGGCGCCCATTCGATTTGCGTACAAACATTCGTCCACCTGCTCCAGAGAGAGAGACCGGGGGGGCGCGAGACAGCGTCGACAAAGCACTTATACCCACCACACTACAAGAGAAGTGCCGTAAATTTCGTCTGGACGTCAGGGCCGGGTGGTAAATAACACACACACACACACACACGCACACACAAAAGGAGTCTGCGACTTATTTATTCTTATTTATTCTTTGATTTCTCGACACATTTTTTTCAAAAAAACCTTGTTTTTCAGTTGTTTTTTTGTTTGCGTTGTCACGTTTTGCGCAGTTTTGAACAGTCTGTGTTACTATTTTAGGAATGTACGGTGGCGCTTCGCTGAGAGCAAAGAGGTACAGAGCACTTCCTGGTTAATCGTGGGGAGAGAACGACAAAAATAGAATAATTCACGGCGATTAATGTTTGCCTAAAGCGATGGCAACAATAAAAAAGAGTTAAAAAAAGAAAAAAAAACACTAAGTGCATTGTACCTGTTGGCTTTGAGTCGAGAGTTACCTCGCGACTGAAAAAAAAAAGAGTTTCTGTGACCCCTTGTACAGATGGGATTTTTTTTTTTTTGGCGTTGTACGAATGTGTTATCGAGGATGTACAAAAGGGTCTCGGAACTTGTTTGTGCTTATCATTTACATCATATTGTCATGGCTTACCTGTTCCTAGGGGAAAATAAAACATTAAAGCAATACAGATCAGTTACATCAGATCCACGCGGGTGTTTGTATTTGTGTTTGTGTGGTTTTTTTGGGGGCGGGGTTTGGAGATTTGGGACTTTTTGGGTTACTTTGGAAGGAAAACAAGCCCACCGTGAAATGGCCCGGCTCTTTTCAAGGTTTTTACGGTCGCAATCGCCTTATTGGGCTTAAGGAGCAGCGGCTATTAGTGATTATTAAAGGCCAGCCGGCTTTTCACAGCAAACATCGGTCACATTCTATGACATATGATGAATAGATTGAATATTTTCTACTCACAGGAAGCCTTTTTTGTGTTAACCACGCGTGACTGATGGCTGACCTTCTCCACTTTAGCTCTCACCATGTTATTTTACTGTCAAACCACTCCCTACATTTTTTTCCCCCACTCAGCAATCTCTCCGTGACAGGGAAACCAATTTATCTTCTCTAATTCCTGTTAATTATTTGCATTTTAGCACAGTTCATCAAACAGATTAGCACATGAAAAGGTCAGAACTCAAACACACATTTTGTTCTTTAATGTTGTCCACAGCGAACAAATATTGGTTGAAAGGAAATCAATTGGGCTCTGTAATCCTAATGGCTATTTATTTTTAAATTCCACTTCCTGATGGTGTTTCCCATAACTTCTTTTGTAAAAATTAGCTTCCTTATTATGGGGTTATGGATCCTTTTCTTCTAAAAAAACCTGCAAAAATGAGTTTCAACCACAATCAGACTATAAATTCTGAGCACCGTTGTCATACAAGCACAAACAAATTGACAACAGGTGTCCGAAAGCTTTTTTTAGGCAAAAAACCGCCGAGTCATGACGGGAAATCGGCACTCGCGGAGTCAAGGACCGCTTCAAAGCCGGTGGCCCTTTGCCCAATTGAAGCCAAAAGCCGTGAGGGATAGAGGAGGTGCAGAGTGGGAGAAACCCGGACAAAAACTCTTGAGTTTCTCATGGCTTGCAGACGGTGCTCAAACTCGCAAATATGCATGACACATTTCCCCTCCGACGGGTGAGGTAGGTGCCGTCGCCGCGTGCTTCACAGTGTCGCATTATGAGCTGGAAGAGTCCTTTTTTTGAACGCTGAACTTCCACTGACAGCCATGTTTTCTGTGTCCAGAAAACAAAAAGAAACACAATGCCACATAGTTGTATAATACCAGGAGTTGGCTACATTATCGGTCAATAAAACCATGCTTGGATAGCGAATTCTTCTCTTTTTCACAACAAAACGCTTTAGAAATCGAGTATTGTTCATTTAAACCTAATGAAAATCTCTCATTTCGACAGGTTAGATATCTTTATTTCATGGCATCATCGTGAAATGACCCTTGAAATTGGATTGCATGACGTATAATGACAGCTGCTTGAATCTAAAAGCACCCTCAACATCAAAAACTGAACAGAACTGTAATGAGGGAATGAAAAGAGGACTCAGAGGTTCGGAACCCCCATTAGACATTTGTGGACTACAAGATGAAAGTGCATCCAACTTAACTAAGCCTAATCAAATAAAAATTTTAAAAAATCCATAACAGTCTTCAACAGAAACACCAGGTAAAGCAGTCGTATTCTCAAAAGTCTGTAGCTCCAATTTAAATCTAAAACCCTCTAATATTGAACCTGAAGTTTTGTGAGTGATAGTTAAGTAATGACTTCATTTTTAATGAAAGCTATTTCCGTACTAGTCATTTAGGCTTTTAGTTCTTCTAAATGTGCAAAGCTTTGCGGATTTCGCTAGACACCCGGTCGAAACATGAACTAGAGCCTTTCACGGTCGATCCGGGCCAAAAATGTGCTGTGGAAATGTGTACAGTCTGTGAGACGCATCTCACCCAGGTATGACCTTCCCACACGAGAGAAGTTTTGGAAAAACCTGACCCGGAACGTGCGGATGCCACTGGACTGTAAATATTCAAACAAGGGGGAAAATTCCCACCGCGGTCTTATCAAATGGAAAAATCAACCTGCTTGTTATGGTTTGCTATCCGCCTATTCACTCTACAATGTACTCTTTTTTTCCCCCTTCTTGATTTTTTTCTTACTTCACAAAGAGAGACGTATCTTCTTGTATGAAAGCTTTAATCTTACGGGTCAGGAAGCGGGAAGTTATTACGAATGATCCAAAGTGCCTCTGTGCCACCCCCGAGTAGCTTTTGGCGTGACGCTATCGTCAGCGCGCTTGCTGACGATGAACAGAGACCTGCGCGGAAATTATTAAAACCTCAT